CCTAACATTTAGAAAGAAAATGAAGAGTCTCTTGGAGATGCTCTAAGTTATAATTTTTTTATCTAGATGTTGTAAAAGTAGATCTAGATGCTACATGTACATGCATGCTGAAAGCATATGTTTCAAGTGTTCCAGGGGTTTTCATGCGCATGCTTACAAGTGTTTCATCTGAATGTCACATATGTTTGTAATGGTTTTCAAGTGTTTTTCAGGCGTTTTTCACAAGTGTTTTAGATGTTTGTTTCAAGTGTTTCATCTGCCTTCAAACGTATGTTGCAAGTGTTGCATCTATTGCATCTGGATGTTTCAAAAATAGATCGGATGTTGCATCTCCCTCTTTGCTTTCTGCTGCTTCGTCTCGGTGTTTCCTCCTCCTTCCGGCGCCAGCCAGACATCCACCGCCCTCTTTTTCGATGTTGGTGACATTCGGGCGGCGTGGGCCCTACGTGGACACGTGAAACGGTGCGGAAAATGGCTACAGGCACGGACGTCCGTGCGCTAGCAAGTCCGCAGAAAATCACCCATATAAACCGTTTTTGACAGTCGTGAAAATCATTTCGCAACTGTGAACGCTGCAGTGCGCGCTGCAGCAAAACGGAAGAGGACGTTGCTTGGATCCGCAGTGGAAAAGGCACCAAGGACTGCATGCGCTGTTAAGTGTGAAATGTGGTGTGAGCCTTGCTCGCAGCGCCGCTTCGGTGGGAAAAGGCCAAAAGGGTGAGCGGATCGTACGCAAACTGCAACCATTGCTGTGCAGAGGAGATGATGCATGGGCCTTCAACGTACGTGCATGAGGACAGCAAAAGCAAGCTGATGCGGCTGCTAGGTATGGAGCACATATGGAGGCAGCAAGCAGCTAGCTGCCTCTGGTTAAAGCTGCAAAACTAAGCGTCAACGTGGTTGCAAATCGCTAGCCACCAGCTATGCAATGAATGTTGTTATTAATTTGATGAAGAACCATTTCATCACTTCAGGAATATAAACTCTGTCGTCTTTATTTTAAAAAAGGAATAAACTCTGTGGATTATATATATGTTCGTGGTTTCAAACGACTTACCTATGGTAAAACGCAATTTGGACCACTAGTAATAAAGTAGTACGTAGTAATAAGTGAAGCATGGTTCAAAACATTCAAAGATTTTGGATTACTATTTTTCACCTTTTGTGGTTGTGACTAGTATTTTCCAAGTGCTTAGCTTGAAATTCTCCTAATTAATACAGTTTCCAGCAAACAGCTAATTTAATCACCGTACATTTGATAACTTAAAAACAGATTAAATCTAGTCACCTCAATCGGAAAAAAATAACTAGTTAGGGGTATGACCGAATACCGAGGGCTAACTGTTAGCCGGCTAAAATTAGTTCTAGTCTATCCAAAAAGAGGGCTAATATATAGGCTAACTTTTTTAGCCAAATCTTCAACGAGTTGTTAGCCAAACAGCTAGTTATGGGCTAAGCTATCCTAGCTGATCATACGAACATGTCCTTTCATCAAACAATTCATGGGTACGTAGATCAAAAACTTCCTCGACCATTGACCCCAAAGCTCAGCGAACAAAACTGGTAATATATAATGGTTACACCCCTTTCGTAGCAGTTTTTTAAAAGCATACTCATATATATCACAGATCAGTGAAACAGTCGATCGAGTGAGTGAAACTTCAGGAGTTCAGGAGAAGAGTTGGAATCGAGCGAGAGCCGTGTGTACAAGATGATATGCGCACAGGCCGGCCGGGCAGTAGCTAGCTATCGATAGATCGACTAGTGACCTAGTGTACATGCCGTGCATGTGCTCCTCTAGCAAGCTCCTCTCGCTCTCTCGTCGTCGTCTACCTCTCTCCCATACCATATATAACGAGACAACGAGCGTCGGCCTCTATAGATTATAGCCTCCATCTGCTGCGTATAGTGCGTACGCATCTCATATATACGTACTGTACCTTCGTGGCTTCGTCATGTGCCACTGCGGCATGCATGCGAGTAGCAGGGCCGGCCGGCGGCCGCCTCCATATGCATGGATTGATCAGGCCCACGCACCATGATATTTGATATAATATAGCTGGCACGAACAAGGTTGAACACAAGCGTACTGCGGCGTGACCATTCAAAACGCCACAATAGGCCACAAGCGAGCGTCGCGCATCGGCGCATGCTACGATTACCTATATATTAATTTTTTTTTTTGCCGTGACATCAAATTTTCTTTATATTTATTCATTTTTTGTTTTTTTGTTTATTTAATAAATCCATATTAAATACTGCAGCGCCATCACTCAATTTCTCAAATAGAACCACCCCTGGTTAAGCAAAGACTATTAATTGTACTCTTTTCTCTATGTATCTTTAGCAGTGTTTAATTGTGCACTCTACTTTGAATCAAAAGAATTCCAAACAATGCACTAGAGATAGAGGTAACAGTAATTAAGCAAACGGAAATATTTTGGCAGTACACTAAATGCTACTAATTTTACTCTAGTAAATCAGAGGAAGCAAATAATAGTGTACTAAAATAACTGGGGTGAGTTTTTGGTAAGAAAAACACTTGGCGTGTGATTTTCGATGGACCGGGTAGAGTGAACCACTTGCACTAGAGAAGAAAAGGGAACGGTTTAGTTTGACTGAAACCAAGGGTAATTGATGGCTCAAACCTGACCAATTGAATGTTTATATCTATCATGGGTTGGCTCTTTGCACAACCAAAGAGCCTATAAACCGAATTGTATGGCCGTTTGGGTTCAAAAAACTGATCTATCAGTCGAAAGTTCAAACTGATTGATACAGCTATGCGCTTTGAAATTATGGTGCTTGTTTAAAAAATAACGGTGGCTTTCATCTTCATGGTCCATTACTGAAATATGTCAACTTCCACTGAAGCTGTATCGGGCTAATAAGTTGTCGAGATGTTCGCTATAACATTTTTTTGCTTCAATAAACCTCCTCCCCTCTATGTGAAAATTTGATGATCTACCTCTCTTTGTGAATGGTGAGGGGACACTTCATCTAGGGGTGGTGTTTGGTTCTAGAATGTCAGCCTCACTCGGTCACTCTAAGGAAAAAAGATTGTTACATCTGTTGTTAGTAAACAAGAATTATGATGTATCTATAGTTTTCAAGCCATGCTGGTAATAACTTATTTTGGATTTTTCGGTCAAAAAAATAACTTATTTTGGATTGTGATACAATGGTTTGTCAACTTACCAATTTGTACAAGAGTTAGTAACTGAGTTGTTCGGTAAAATGTCCTTGAGATGGCATAGATGCTTGTACTAGCTCATTGTTGTGCATTTGTGATGGTAGATTCATGGTTGCAGAAATGTTCATTTAGATTTTGATCCTGAGGATCATTCCCTTACAACTATAACCACATATATCCTTCAGGAGATTGTGTTGAAAACCATTCAAGATTTTGTAAAAAAAAAAGGAAAGGCAAAAAGCAAAAAAAAAAAGAGGTGTAGATCAACATCTATTCGAGGAAACTATATTTTTCTAACAATCATGCATGTGCCTACACACATTATTTGGCATGTGATGGTGGTAGATCTATGGTCGTATCTATGTTCATCTCACAAGGGTTGTTATTGTAATTGCACATATATGGATGTAGTTGTATTATCATGCACACACACATGGTTGCTCCACAATCATGTTAAAATTTGTTACATGATGTATAACAATAATATTGGTACAACTGTGGCTACCCTGTCAATGAGAATTATAATGTTCCCAAAATTATCAAGCTATTCTAGTAATAACTTATAAGGGCCGGTGATGTATATGTACAATGCTATTTCAATGTATCGAGTTGTAGAAATGGTAATAATTGAACTGTTTTCTAAAATGTCTTTGATCTAACATAGATGGTTGTAGCTCATTGTTGTGAATGTACGATGGTAGCTTCATGGTTGCGTAAATGCTCATTAACATTTCTATGACGATCGAGGATAATTCATTACAACTATAAGAATAACTATAGTCAAGGAGCTGTGAATGCGTTGTAAACCATCTGATTTTTGCCAAAAAATGGTTGACATCATCTGATTCTAGAAACAATCTTTTCGCATTATAATGCACGTGCATACACACATGCCACCATGATTCTCTGTCGCATGAATGTACATGAAACCGTCGTGCTTGTGTGTGTTTTGTATTACATATAACCGTTGATAGTAACATAGATCTTCGTTGAATACTGAAAAGCAATTATTTTTGGTAACTCCATGTCGAAGTAGAAGTGGTGACACTTTTGCCCCTCGAGTCTCCGTTACTACCGCCATTTTGGCAAGGAGTGTGTTGCTATTGCCTCGGAAAAACATCCAATCATGCACGCGTAAATTATAACGACTTTTTACCGAACCAAACCCGCACGTACCCAGAGTAACTAAACCCGCACGTATCCAGAGTTACTTCATGGTTGCGACACCGCTGGCCGCATGTGTCTAGGGTTTACATACTCCATGGTTGCAAAACCGTGACAAGGAATAAACCCAACACAACCCAATGGGAAAGACCAGATGTGGTGCTGGTGCATCAGCAGCCGCTCCAAGACGATCAGCCGGTCCAGACCTGACCCCTTTCCATGCTCAGGACTGGTTTGGCACCGGTTCTAGCTTCATCGGCCCCACCAGCCAGCCTCGTATAGTTTATACCATGCAGCTCTCCTAAAACTAGCAATCATCTACGTTTACTCTAACCAGATCACTCCTTGTCATCCATTATTGGCAGGTCATTAAGGCTAATACACCATTGCTAAAAATTACCACTGCTGCAATAGGTACCTGATGCAATTACCAAAAGTGTCCCTCCGGGTCCTTGGCCGTCATGTGTACCCGAGCCATGGGCATAATGGGAAAATCACTGTCCTGTCAGTTACCAGTGGCGCCCTATATAAAGTGCACTGGCAGCTGATGCATCAGCACCACCACAGCCACCACCACAGCAGCTTCGTCCTCACGAACTCACAAGTTGAGCGAGCGAGCGAGCTCTCTGAGTGGAGAAGAGGCATGGTGACGAAGGGAGTAGGAGCGGGAGGGAGCGGGGGTGACGACGCATGGGCTAGGGCAGGGGACGGGAACGGGAATGAGAACGGGAACGGGAGTGGGAACGGGAAGGCGACGGTGCGGGAGCTGCCGTGGTGTGAGCGAGAGAACAACCGGAGCCGGGAGCGCCGTCGCAGGTTGATCGCGGCGAGGATCTTCACCGGGCTGCGCAAATACGGCAACTACACCCTCCCCAGGAACGACAACAACATGGTGCTCAAGGCGCTCTGCGAGGAGGCCGGCTGGACCGTGGAGGCCGACGGCACCACCTACCGCAAGGTACTCGTTACTCTTTCTCGCTGTTCCGATCGAGCTAATTAATGGTCGCCGCCGCCGCCGTCTTTCCATTGTTTCGTTTCCGTTGGTTCTCGTTCTTGTCGTCGTCCTGCATTGCTTCGCTTTCCCGATCGAGCTGCGTGTGTAGTATCGTCGACAGTTGCAAGCCGATCGACCAGCTTTTCCGCTTCGTCGTCTTTTGTTTGTAGCAAAAGTCCAAATTTTGTTTTGTTTTAATTTCAGTTGCTCGTCATCTAGCTTCCTTCTCTTGTCGTCGTTGTTCTTGATCTGTGTTTTATTTACATATTCCCTGCGTGGGTCTGATGCTGGCATGCTGCTGCTTCAGTCCTCGTTAGTCGTACTGTCGACTGTAAACGGAATAACGGATAGGGAAAGAAAAACTGTCGTCGTTTGCTTTTACATCCCGTTCTTTTCACATTGCCTTGCGATTGCACATTTTTTGCGTGCATGCACGCATGTCTATCCTTGTTCATTGATATCCTCTCGGCTCTTCGTTTTGTGTTTCTTCAGGGACCAAAGCCTGATCCGGCAGGTGATGAGCATATGGCCGACATCGGCGGGTCTGCTCCGGTGAACCCAGCAGGCGGAGCTTCCTACAGCCTGACCCGGGAGACGTCGCCCTCCGGCATCACGCTCGGCGGCGGGGGCAGCCGCGGAGCCAGCCCCATTCCGGCGTGGCTCAAGAACCTGTCCAAGCAGCTCAGCGACAAATCGTACCCCAACTTCTTCGCGAGCTCCTCCAACTCCAACTCCAACGCGCCGGCGACGCCGCAGAACGGCTCCCCGCCCTCATCCCCGCCGCGCCTCCGCAAGAAGGCGCGCTACTCCTCCCCGCCGCCCGCCACCCCGCCGCCGAGCCCGGCGAGGGCCTCCAACTCCAACGTGCGGCCGCCTCCGTGGGCCACGGGTGCTGGCGCCAGCCGCTTCTCCTTCAAGACCTCCACCCCGCCGCTGATGAGCCCCGTCACCGGCGGCCGGGGCCCCGACCCGGTGAGGCTGCTGGCGGGGTTCCAGATATCTTACGCCGCAGACAACAAGGCACCGGCCTACAGCAGCTTCGTGGCGTCCGGCGCGTCGTCGCTCGGCGCCGGGAGCTCTGCTTCTGCCTGGATGCTCCCGCCGCTGCCGGGACGCAGCAGCAGCGGGGCGTCGGCCGCGGTCCGTGGCCGTGGTGGCGCGCTGATGTCGGGCCGCGGTGGCGCGCTGCTGTCCCCGCTCGGGTTCTCGTTCCGCAGGAGCGGCGGGGAGCAGGCGGGCGCGAGGGAGGAGGTGATGACCGAGAAGAACGCCGACGAGGAGGAGGGCCTGGAGCTCACCCTGGGGAACGCGCAGACCCGCAAGGACCGCGCTTGAGCTCACCGATCGAGCTGCTGCAACAAGACGATGCGCGCGTGAGCTGATTGGGAAGCTATCTTTATATATAGGGACTCATCAGGCACTCGGCGTGGTCGTAGTTTAACCTCAGCAAGACTGCTGGCGTTTAACTTTAGCCTATCTTATTACTATCTACTCCTAGTCTTAGTATCTCATCGTAACTTTAGCCTATCTTTATCATTACTACTGACCGTCTAGTATCTTACTATCCATCTAGTATCTCGTCATCAGTTATCCTTTATTTCCCATCTTTGTTTTCTCTTCTTCTTCTTTTTTATCTTTGCAAGAAATGAAAAAGGAAACAGACATGGCAATGGGAAGGCTTGTCTTCATGTAATCATGGATTGCCAGGCAGTTGGATTAAAGCTAATGAAAAGTATCAGTTATAGTTAAGCAAATGTCTTCTGCTGCTGCTGTGTGCTTTCTTTGGCAATAATTTTTCAGTTTCCATGGTTTCTTCAACTGATTTCTACGAGCAACTATGTAGGACGCGGAATTAAGGGCCCATTTGGAATAAAGTATTTAATAGTAATCATACAAAAATTTCACACAATTATTTTTATAGAACCAGAAAAAAAAAATCTACGTTCTAAAGGGGGCTAAATCTGCTTCTAGAGGCATGTGCTCACATCCTAAAACCGTCGGACGAGGATGGATATACATATACTGCAGGAGAGAACTGATGCAGTGAAGCCATGAGGATGGGAGCAACCCCTAGGCCAAAAAAAAAAAACTAGCTGCAGCCTGTGTGTCTGTTTGTGCCGATCAGCTTGGTAGGCCACTCGGACGTGTTTCGTATAGCTTTTGCACCAGCTTCGCGGAGCTGTTTTTCAGTTTCTCCTCCCTGCCAAACGGGTTCTGCTGAAGCTAGGTGAAGCTGTTTTTTTAGCTTCTTTCACAGGCACGGTTCTTAGGTGAAGCTGGGTGAAGCTAAGGGCCCGTCTGTGTAGGATCTCTGGTTGACCAAGAGGGGGGTGCATAGACCTGTCAAAACAAACACTCAAACTTTTATCAAATTCACCGGCACTGCCGGGTCAGAACAGCGGCACTGTCGCACATGCAGACAACTTCGAGCCACAGTTCAAAATCCGTGAACGAAAACTTAGATCGAAGAAATTTTCTAGCTTACTGCAGGTATGACAATCACAGATCAAGAGCTAAAAGTAGTAGAAACACCACATACAAGTAGATCGACTAGAAACCCTAGAAATCACCTCAACCACAATATGTCATGCAAGTAATGTAAATCAAGTACAAGTGACACAATGATTTATCTCGTGGTTCGGCTCGCCACCGAGGCTTGCCTACCTCCACGTTGTTGAGGTTAGCCACTAAGGCTTAGGGCTTTCCAACCCTTCCTCGTTCTCAAGTCAAGAGACTTAACTCTTGAGATGATGGGTGTGTTTATTAGCTTCAAGAAATGGTTACTAACCTCCCGGGGCTGCCACACAAGTTGGCAAGCTCTACGGACGACGCTCTGCCAGCTAGGAGCCAAGCTATAAGAGCAACAAATACAACCGCCGGCCAAAACATGAACCAAGTGCTCTTTAGAGTTGGAGAATCAATAGAGCTACTCTCTAATCGAGTTTTGGACCCTTTTTTCTCAAGGATTAATGGAAAAAATCAATGGATTTGCTTGAGGGCTTAAGGTCAAAAATGGAGGGAGGGGGAGAGAGAGAGCTCTTGTTCTGTTTTGGACGTGCTGAAGTGAGAAAGAAGAGACAGAGTACCGTTGGGAAGGAAGGGGAAGGGTATAAATACCCCCCAGGCTTCAACGGGCACTTAAGTCAGTGCCGCACTGCGGCGGCAGTGCCTCTTTTCAAGTGTGGCAATGCCGCACCACGCAAGACAGTAAGGGTAAGAGTGAAGTGTAGACTATTTTGGCTATGAAACCGAAGATGCATGTATATGTTTGAGCACTTGGTAGCACATGTTAGCTTAAGCATTGTGTCCCCCTTTATAGTACGACTTTCCTATACTCAAATTCAAAATATAAAAGAATTTAATCTTTCTTTGAGTTTGAAGCCATCTACATTTGTAATTGGGGGCTTCTCCATTTTGTGTAGCATCCTCGAACATGAATTCTCTGCTTGTCATCTCGATAAATCTCGTTAGTTCTCTAATTGCGTGGTCATTATCACCAAAACCCACAATTATGACTTGATTGTACTTTCAATCTTCCCCTTTTTGGTGATCGATGACAACCCAATTAGAGCTTACAAAAGATATGAAATAAATACTGAGATTTTCGAGCCATGGGTGTAGAGCCTCCCCCTAAGTATATGAATAGAGAATTGAATTATCAAATTGGCATAAAAAGCCAAGATTTACATTTTACTAAAAGTGATGGGGCTCCCCCTACATCCATGCTCCTGTGGGGTGTTGCATACTGTGTCAGGTATTTAAAGCATGATGCAATTGATAGTTTATGCACAATATGGTTTGCTGTTGCAGCTGGGTGCGGCATTGCCGCACTTGCTGTAACAGTACAGATCAGAACAGACACCATACAGCATGTGATACATATAAAGATATATATTCTAGCACAATTGTATCACAAGCGACAACATAGATTAATATATGTCCATATCCCACACATATAAAAAGTACTTAAGTAGCATTATTACATAAATAGAGTTTCTAATGGACTCTCAAACTCTCACCTAACGAAGACTACTCTAAACGGATACGAACATGACTCTAGCTCCAGCAACCTCCTCTCCATGGCGTCAAAAAAGTTGTTGACCCTATATTTCTCTCTCCCTTTAGCATAAAACACCAAAAAGAGAAGAAAAGAAGAAAGACCAACACTCACTCCTCATCCTCTTGGATGGTGTCCCAATCGACATTATCCCCACCAGCAGCTCCACTAGCACCTACAACATACTCTTCTCCACCATCATCATCGTCGTCGTTGTCGGAGGAAGAAGAAGACACCATCGCCCTCCCTTGGAGATGAGTGGTCGAAGTGTGGCGCTCATGTCTGGTGCTCCTCCTCATGGACTGCAAGGTGGACCTCAAACTCATGTGAGGATCAAGCTCTGGCTGCTCCTGCTCCTCCTCCTCATCCTCTGAATCTGTCTCAGAAAGACTAGGGAGGTCATCAAACCTCGGCGGTGACTGAATTGGAGAAAGAGGTGGCAACCATGCACGCTCTCTAGCCTCTCAGTTGGCTTCATGGTTCTCCAATCGGTCCTGATATGCGGTCCTTGTTGTATAAGTGCATGTGGTGAAGATGGCCTTGATCCACTTCCCAAAATTCTCTATCTTCTTTTTCCTTATGAGGCCTAGAGCGGGACAACTCAGGCATGTCCTCAACTGATGGAGAGCGTCTCACTGCCCTGCTAGCACCTGCTCCTCGGGTCTTCTCAATTTTGTAGATGGTGTGAAGACCATCTTTCTCAAATTTGTAGCCAATGACCCTCTCAATCATAAACATGTGATAGGGGGCATAGGGTATCCCCTTTCTCCCATCCTCCATGGAGTTCCTCAGCTCATGCCACGTGAAGCGAGGGACATTAAACCTATCACCTCCAGGAACAAATCTAGCAAGCACATTCCTCACATATCCATTAAAATCAGAAGCTGCTCCATCCTTGGGATTGATAGTGTGCCTGATCAAACTGTAGGCCACTGACCTTCCCATCTGCACTTCTTCTGTCAATCCACATATATGCAATGTCGCGGATCTCAGCTCTAGCCTCATTATAAATGTAAGTGAAGTCCCGCTCCTCCTCTCCAAAACTAAGGATCCGGCTGAAAGTCATAAAATCAACTTTATAATACCGTCCCTCAGTCATCTAGTGAATCTCATCAGTGTAGATACTATAGAAGAAAGTGGCATGGAACTAGGCTAGCACATCCTCATTCCAATTATATCTAAAGCTCATAATATCAGTGAGGCCAAACAACTCACAAGCCTTGATCACCTTATTAAATTCTGGCTCATTCTTTGCCTTCATCTCCTCCCAATCAACATACTGCATCTTGACAACTTTGGATTTCTTAGAGTTAAAGTTCACAGATACATAGAAGTTGGAATGAAACTCATTCTAAAACTTGTAGTCTATCTCCAAATCCTTTGCCTGCTCATAGGGATTATTCTCACGTGCTTCCTCTACCATCTTTAGCTTTTCCGCATAGTTGAGCACAGGATGAGCACGTGTGTCAACAGGACGCCTCATAACCACATCCTCATAATACTCTCTAATGTAGCTCCTATTAAACTCCTCAAGATAAGGTAGAGTATCTAAGCAAGCACCTGGAGGAATGGTGCAGCCAGCCCTCTCCAGGTTCTCCTCATCCTGTATCATCTAATCTCTCCTCCCCCTATCTCTAGAAACATCTCTGCCTGCTGCACTGCTGCTGCCCCCTGTGGTCCTGCCACGACCACAACGAGGCATCTGCTTATCCCAAGGCTCTGTCATCTTTCTCTTCCTCCTCCGATCATCATCACCTCCGGAGGCCATCTACGCAAAACATAGACCAAAATGAGAAATTGTACAAATGGAGAGTAGGAGTTATCCTATAAAGCAAGTTAAGTAATCAAGAAGAGTCAATGTGCAAGCGAGAGAAGCAGCTGATGAGGTACTGCCCCCAAATGTGCGGCACTGCCGCACCTGGAAGCAGAACTGCCACACCAGCTATTTCACTAAGACTGTACTTTGCATCTTCTTGTCTACTGAACTTACTTCATAATTTAACTCCTAACCCACTATACAATCTCAAAAAGCATATGCATGTCTATGTCATCGATTCATCTAGATATGATTGAGAGAAAGCCTAGTAATCATGAATCTTAGCATTGGGTGCTGAGTGAAATAGATAAAGTGAGTCAACCATCGAGCTAGGAGTGTAACATTGCCATCTCTGCCACGAAGGTGCGGCACTGCCGCACTGAGGGTGCGGCATTGCCACAACAGTCAGTTTGGTTCCAAAGATGAATCACGATTTCTACTTCAATTAATCCTCAATACACC